TGGGAGGAATAGTGCCCCATCATTGGTATCAGTGGGAGGAATAGTGTCCCATCATTGGTATCAGTGGGAGGAATAGTGCCCCATCATTGGTATCAGTGGGAGGAATAGTGCCCCATCATTGGTATCAGTGGGAGGAATAGTGCCCCATCATTGGTATCAGTGGGAGGAATAGTGTCCCATCATTGGTATCAGTGGGAGGAATAGTGCCCCATCATTGGTGTCAGTGGGAGGAATAGTGCCCCATCATTGGTGTCAGTGGGAGGAATAGTGCCCCATCATTGGTATCAGTGGGAGGAATAGTGCCCCATCATTGGTGTCAGTGGGAGGAATAGTGTCCCATCATTGGTATCAGTGGGAGGAATAGTGCCCCATCATTGGTGTCAGTGGGAGGAATAGTGCCACATTGTTGGTGTCAGTGGGAGGAATAGTGCCCCATCATTGGTGTCAGTGGGGGGGGGGGGAATAGTGCCCCATCATTGATACTAGTGTAGGGGGGACACCAATGATGAGGCACTATTCCTCCCACTGACACCAATGATACTTACCTTGCTGACTCCTGCTCCAGCCTGGGCTCACTCCCTCCCTCTCCCATCTACAGCCAGCATACCTGGCTGCAGCAGCACCATCTGCACGCTACAGACACTTACCTGTCATCTGTTTTCCTTCTCTGGCCGCTCCCTCGCTCGATCTTCTTTGCTCTTCGCGCTGCTGCTCGGTTCCTCCTCTCCAAGCTCCACCTCCTCACCGGTGATTGGCCGCCTGTGTGCCTCTCCTGAGCTAAAGTTCCGGCGGCCAATCACTGGCGAGGAGGCGGAGCTGTTGAGTGATCCCGGGGATGTGACCAGATGACAGGGGCGGCATGTCATCCCGCGCACACATCGCTGTCCAGGGAAATGTGGACGTATCTGCATGTGGGCAGACCCGCCTGGAGACTGATAGCGGAGCGGTGTCTCGGTTCCTCAGACCATCGGAAATATGTGTTTTTCCGATGGTCTTAGGAGACCCCTGTGAAAGGGTTGTTCGACCCCCAAAGGGGTCGCGACCCACAGGTTGAGAACCGCTCCCTAAGCTCTACATGGACAGGCAACAGGCATTTTCCACACTTGCAAAGTCAGTAAACAGTTCTTGAGCTGGTTTTTAGATGTTTTTATTAAGGGGTTAACAACTTGGATGGGGTCTAGGGGTATTTGGGATGCCCAGGGAACTGCAAATTTGAGGACAAACATCTTAGCAACAAAACTATACAAAAATGGATCAACGATAGCAATGGACTCTGTTAAGGAGCACTGAGGTCCCCTCGGGGGATGTCCTCGAACCCCAGGTAAATCCCCCTCTTCAGCTGCACTGAGGATATTTCAGAGCAAGGTATGCCAAGATTTAGCAATTAAGTAGCCTCGAATGGAACAGACACAGGTGGAACAGTGCTCTATGCAATGACTAGATCTTTCCAGAAAGTTGCATGTTATGACCCAGCCTGGGACCCACATACCAGATTTTAGGCTCCATGCACACTGGGAGTTTTAATAGCCCTGGTAGCGTTAGCTGTGAAAAGTCACGTAAAAACGAAAGTTTTTTTGCACTTTTAGCATTTTTGCATCCAGAAAGCTGCATGTTATGACCCAGCCTGGGACCCACATACCAGGTCTGAGGCTCCATGCATGCTGGGCATTTTAAAAGCGCTGGTAGAGTTATCTGTGTAAAGTCATGTTAAAAATGCAAGTTTTTTAGCGTTTTTTGCATTAGGCGCATTTTGCCGCGTTTGCATTTTTTTTTTACAAAAAAAACTTTTTTTGCTCAGAAAAAGCCCAAAAAAATGCCGGTTTGCCATGGATTACCACTTTTTGCCTCTTTTACCACGTTTTTCAGTATTAGAGTGTTTTTACAAGTAAAAAAAAACTCCTCTAGAAACCCACTAGTTCTGGGGATTTTTTTGTTTCCAGCCAAAAAACACCCCTGCCAAAAAATGCTGAGTTCAGCCTATGTGTGCAGGGACACATAGGATAACATGCTGGGGAGTTTCCTGGGAGCTGGGGATAACATTCGGGACAGCCGAACAAAGCCAGGATCAGCTTTGATCAACTCTCCATTACAGTAAACCAGAAGACATCACTGGTTACTCGGAAGTAAAATGCACCATTTTAAAGAATTAAATCATTCCGAAAAAATGTAGGAAAAAATGGCAAAAGTGAGAAACAGCCGCTGTAAAAACGTTGATTGTGTATGAGGACTAATAGTGGAGGACCAGGTGCCTGGGGCCAGTTATTGCTGTCTCATCAGGTATGGTCCCTCTGAGCACCTGAGTGCGAGTGTGTGTATATACAATACAATGAGGGAGATTTATTAAATATGGGGCACTCAGAATCAGGATGCATGCTGTGCATGGTAGCCAATCAGCTTCTACCTTCAGTTTGTTCAGTTAAGCTTTGGCAATACAACCTGGAAGCTGATTGGTTTCTATGCAAAGTTGCACCAGATTTTGCACTCTACAGTTTTAGTAAATAACCCCCAATGCATTAGGAGTGGAACTGACTGGCCTTCAATGCCCTACGTCCTTCTCTATATACCTGTACTTTATGTACCCATACTGTATACTATATATATTATATATTACATTCTTCTTAACCACTTCCCATCCAGTGATGTATCGGTACTTCGCTGGACGTTCGGTGGTTATACTGGAATGATTTCAACTAAAATCCCTGTATATCTCCCAAGAAAAGTAAATCTTTCACCCTTGAAAGTGCAAATATCAAAACCTTTTCTTTCACCCTTCACCCCAAAACCTAATACCCTTCCTTTACTTCAAAATATTCCAAATACAATTCAAAAATATCATTCAAAAATATTCACCAAATGTCCCAAATAAAGTTCAAAAATTAAAGTCCAAAAGTAATCCACTCAATGTCCACACTATTCGATCTTCCAAACGTGATAAGATGTCCAATTTGTTATTCCAAATCCAAGATACAAAAGTGTTTCCAACGTTCCAGGATCCCTTGAGAAGAAGTCGGAAGTGACGAAACGCGTCAGTGTTGTGACGTCAAGACGCATAACCGGAAGGAGCAACGCGGCCATCTTTGTTGTGGGACTTTGTCTGTGTGCACTGATGGAACAGGATGGACGTGTTTTCAGTGTAAGCAGTTAATAAAACCTGTGTTTTTACTTGTACACTCCACTAAATCTTGTCTTCTCTGCCCTATGAGGAGCGGGGAAGACTGCATTGGATTGATCCACAAGGGGAAAGGTGTATAGTACCCTGGAATGTTGGAAATACGTTTGTATCCTGGAATGTTGGAAACGCTTTTGTATCTTGGATACAAAAGCGTTTCCAACATTCCAGGATACAAAAGTATTTCCAACATTCCAGGGTACTATACACCTTTCCCCTTGTGGATCAATCCAATGCAGTCTTCCCCGCTCCTCATAGGGCAGAGAAGACAAGATTTAGTGGAGTGTACAAGTAAAAACACAGGTTTTATTAACTGCTTACATTGAAAACACGTCCATCCTGTTCCATCAGTTCATACAGACAAAGTCCCACAACAAAGATGGCCTCGTTGCTCCTTCCGGTTTATGCGTCTTGACGTCATGCACTGACGACTTCTTCTCAAGGGATCCTGGAATGTTGGAAACGCTTTTGTATCTTGGATTTGGAATAACAAATTGGACATCTTATCATGTTTGGAAGATCGAATAGTGTGGACATTGGGTGGATTACTTTTGGACTTTAATTTTTGAACTTTATTTGGGACATTTGGTGAATATTTTTGAATGATATTTTTGAATCGTATTTGGAATATTTTGAAGTAAAGGAAGGGTATTAGGTTTTGGGGTGAAGGGTGAAAGAAAAGGTTTTGATACTGGAACGATACCTGCTGCTGCAGGCATCACCTCGGCACCATGTTTTAGAGCAGGCGGTTGACCCTCCACCGCTCTCTCGGACTCTCCCGTCCCACCAAGAGACCCAAGAGACCAGCTGGCACATCCACCAGCTGGCCTGACAGCCGAACAAAGCCAGGATCAGCTTTGATCAACTCTCCGTTGAGATGACCTGACATCATGGGTTACTTGGAAGTAAACAGCGCCATTTTTAATAAAATAAAATCATTCAGAAACACCGATCTTGGTGTTTTTGAATGCTTTTAAGTGCAGGGGAGGGACCCCAGATCTTTCCCTAAAGATTACCTGGCAGATGTCTATTGCTGTCACAAGGATGTTTACATTCCTTGTGACAGCAATAACAATGATAAAAAAAAGAAATAGTATAAAAATGGAAAATAAATTATTATTATTAATCATAATAATATTATTATGATTAATAATAATATTAATAATATTAATAATATAATAATAAAAATGTAAAGCGCCCCCCATCCTCCCGTGCTCGCACTCAAAGGCAAATGCGCTCATCAGTCCTGCACACATGCAAACACCAATCGACCCACATATGTGAAATATCGCCGTGAATGTCAGATCATGGGCAGTAATTCTAGCACTAGACCTCCTCTATACATCTAAAGTGGTCACCTGTAAAGGCTTTTAAAACATCTCCTATGGATAGTAAAATTTACATCGTTTGTGGCTATGGCACGGGCATGCGCAATGTTAAAGTGTGACATGTTTGGTATCTATTTACTGTGTAACATCATCTTTTACATAAAATGGGTCTTGTATTGTGTTTTTTTTGCAATAAAATTTTAAAAAGAGTGTTTTTCCCATAAAATTGTGTTTGAAAAACCGCTGCACAAATACCATGTGACATAAAAAATGTCAAAACCCACTAATTTATTCTCTAGGGCCTCTGCTTTAAAAAAAAATATAATGTTTAGGGGTTCTAAGTAATTTTCTAACCAAAAAAAACTGATTGTCACACGTGAAGAAAAAGTGCCAGAAATGGCCCAGACTGGAAGTATTTATGTACTTTTTGAACCCCTTTTGCTTGCAAATATTGAAAATTATAAAATGCAGTGTCTCAAATTAGCCTCTTACATTAGAGATCATTATTTCTTGTTTATTTTTCTTTTTACTGTGTCTTTGACATCCTTGTTCCTTATGCTATAGATGATGGGGTTCAACATCGGTGTCACTGCCGTATAGAAAATGGACACAGTTTTGTCTATTTCTGCGGAATAAATAGAACGGGTCTCAGATACATAAACATGAGGGTACCATAGTAGAGACTCACCACGGTCAGGTGAGAAGCACATGTGGAGAAAGCTTTGTGTCTTCCATCGGAGGAACGGATCTTCAAGATGGTGGAGATGATGTGGATGTATGAAATTAGAGTCAAGCAGAAAGAACACATGACGATGATACCTGCTCCAACATACATCAGCATCTCATTGAACCAGGTGTTTCGGCAAGACATTCGAAAAAAAGGTGGCATCTCACAGAAGAAGTGGTTGACATGGTGGGACTTGCAGTAGGGGAGTTTGAAAGTGAGGGCGACATGCATGGCAGAGTTTAGGAAGCAAATTCCCCATGATCCTGCTGCTAAACCGGCACACAATGTCTTGTTCATGATGGTGTTGTAGTGCAATGGTCTACAGATGGCAGCAAACCTGTCATACGCCATGACGGCTAGTATAATACACTCCGTTGCTCCCAAAGATAAACTGAAGTACATTTGTAAAGCACATGCCAACAAGGAGATACTTTTATCTCTGGCCAGAGTGTTTATGAGAAGTTTGGGAACGATGGAGGACGAGAAAAAGATGTCGATAATGGAGAGGTTACTCAGGAAGAAGTACATGGGGGTCTGTAGCTTTGGATTGACCCTCACCACAATGATCAGTAGAAGATTTCCTGACAAAGTAATCATGTACATCAGAAGGAACAGAAGGAAATAGATCACTTGGAGGTATGGGGCATTAGATAATCCAAGGAGGATGAACCCTTCTGATGTTTGATTGACTTTTTCCATTACATTTAGATCATGCCTGGTAGGAGACATTTGTAACAAGTCAATAAAATATATTTGTAAATAAATATGTAGGAAAACGTCACTTTCTTGAAATAATATAAAGTGTATGACTAGCCAAAACATTTTTAGTTATGGATAGAGTAGGAAAGGGTTAGACCTCCACCGGTTAGTTGTCTTTGCTGTTTGTGTAGAATTGGGAATGTTTCCCATCACTTACTGTCCCAGGGAAGCTACAAGACATTGGAGGAATTCTCCTAAAGTGAAGGGAAATCCCCTCTTAGATATGTGTCCCCAGAACACATGACCCTATTGTAATATTTCCCCCTACCTTTTTGTTTCGGTGGACTTTCAGAGTGGGTGACAATAGTCATCAAGAAAAACAGAGTGGTGAACTTCCTCAATCTGGGGACACAGACAGAAATACAAATTTGACAGAGAGCTCCACTTGCTATTCGTAGGACATAATATGGTGTTATGGCGTTATGGAATTTCAGTGGTTATACCGGGATGATACCTGCAGCTACAGGCCTCATCCCAGTATCTTTCTTTTCAGCCAGCGATTCCCTACAGTGTAAAAGCCAACGTAGTGGCTAAGTAGAAATTGTGGGTTTCACAGTAGGGATGGTGTTCTTGGGATGCAACTCATCCTTCTTTTTCCTCCAAACACAACGTTCTACTTTGTTCTCATCTGACCACATGACTTTCTCCCATGCCTCCTCTGGATCATCCAGATGGTCATTGGTAAACTTCAGACGGGCCTGGACATGTGATGACTTGAGCAGGGGAACCTTCCGTGCAATGCATGATTTGAAACCATGACGGCGTAGTGTTCTACCAACAATGACCTTTGAAACTGTGGTCCCAGCTCTCTTCATGTCATTGACCAGCTCCTCCCTTGTAGTTCTGGGCTGATTCCTCACCTTTCTTATCATCAGTGATACCCCACGAGGTGAGATCTTGCATGGAGCCCCAGTCCGAGGGAGAGTGACAGTCGTCTTTAGCCTCTTCCATTTTCTAACAATTGCTCCAACAGTTGATCTATTTTCACCAATCTGCTTGGCAATTGCCCCGTAGCCCTTTCTAGCCTTGTGGAGGTCCACAATCTTGTCTCTGGTGTCTTTTGACAGCTCTTTGGTCTTGCCCATGGTAGTAGTTGGCGTCTGACTGACTGTGGGGGTGGACAGGTGTCTTTAAAGAGCTCAGACAGGTGCTACTAAGTTAGATTAATGAGTGGAGTAGAGGTGGACTTTTTAAAGGCACAGTAACAGGTCTTTGAGAGCCAGAATTCTTGCTGTTTCTCAGGTGTTCAAATAATTCTGTTCAGCAGTGCAAGACAAATACATTCTTTAAAAATCATACAATGTGATTTCCTGAATTTTTTTTTAAATTCTGTCTCTCAGAGCGGGAATGCACCTACAATGTGAATTTCAGACCCCTCCATGATTTCTAAGTGGGAGAACTTGCAAAATCGCAGGGTGTTCAAATAGTTCTTTTCCTCACTGTATAATGCAAAAACATTAAAGGCATTGGCTGCAATCTTATTCAATATCCCTGGATCTAGCACAGGGGTGTCAAACATTTTTTTTTTTTTTTTTTTTTTTAATGGTTGAACTGGATGGACTTTTGTCTTTTTTTCAGCCAGACTAACTATGTAACTAAAACTGGCAGCCCTCCAGCTTTTGCGAAACTGCAAGTCTCATCATTACCTCTATCTTTGGGAGTCATGCTTGTAACTGTTAATCTTGCAATGCATCATGGGACTTGTAGTTTGGCAACAGCTGGAGGGCCACCAGTTTGACAACTGTGAAGCATATACATTCACTGGCCACTTTATTAGATACACCTCGCTAGTACTGGGCTGGACCCCCTTTTGCCCTCAGAACTGTCTTAATTGTTCATGAAATAAGGCGTTGGAAACATTCCTCAGAGATTTTGGTTCACATTGACATGACTTACTGTTGCCTTTCTATCATCTCGAACCAGTCTGCCCATTCTCCTCTGACCTCGGACATCAACAAGGCATTTTCGTCCACACAACTGGATAGTTTCTATTTTTCAGACCATTCTCTGTAAATCCTAGAGATGGTTGTGCATGTAAATCCCAGTAGATCAGCAGTTTTTAAAATACTCAGATCAGCCAGTCTGGCACCAACAACCATGCCACCTTCAAAGTCACTGAAATCCACTTTTTTCCCCATTCTGATGCTCGGTTTGAACTTCAGCAAATTGTGTTCACCACGTCTAGATGCCTAAATTCATTGAGTTGCTACCATGTGGTTGACAGATTAGCAGTTTGTGCTACCAAACAATTAAACAGGCGTACCTAATAAAGTGGCCGGTGAGTTTAGAGTGCATAGAGTTTAGGCATCCGACCTTGTTAGACGGCCAGAACTGACACCTGTCTAGACCTTCGGGCAGGGTTGGACTGACAACTCATGGGCAATAGGGGATCATGGGGCCACTGTGTCCTTGCCCAAACTCAAAAAAGCCTATGAAAAAGGTACCAGGGGCATCTCATGGGGCCCTCTACTGACCCCGGGCCCTCGGGCAGTGCCCGAGTTTTCAAATGGTCAGTCCGCCCCTGCCTTCGGGTGAATGGGGAAAGTGCTGAGCAGTTCCCACCTGTGTGGCATGAGTTTGCAGCCTCATCCAAATGGTAATAGGACCTTACTTTTCTGAATGGGAATCCAGATGTTATTATTATTATTATACAGGATTTATATTATTATTATTATACAGGATTTATATAGCGCCAACAGTTTGCTCAGCGCTTTACAATATAACGGGAGACAATACAGCAACAATACAGTTCAATACAAGAGGGATAGGAGGGCCCTGATCCTGGGAGCTTACAATCTAAGAGTTTACCAAAGGGTTGCAAATATGATCTGATTTGACCATGCACAAAGAAAACATGCTTTATACCTGTGCTGGATCTTTTGGCAATATGAAAAAATCTTTTTTATTAAATAAGACCAGATGAAACAAAATTCTTATATTAATATATGATGTATATTTTTTTAAAATATATAATTTTGTGCCTTAGCGGACTAGGCAGAAGCAGATAAAAATCACATATTTGGCTTTGATTATTTTCATTATTTTCAAATATTTTCCTTAACCTTCACAAAATCTTTCAACATTCATCAAATTATCATTTTGCTGGGAAAAGACGGGTGACTTTGTTTTGGAGGCAGAGACACCAGGAGTTTCAAAAGTGCTTTTTTTTTACATATATATATGCTGTACCAAATGTATTTTGGTCCCTCAGCTTGGCCTGGAGACTGGAAATTGTTTTATTTAATTTTAGCTTCTCCCAGATGGACGGCTTCTGGTCTTTTGTGAATGTGTGCTTGTGTATTCTTCTTAATATTTCTTTATATAAAATATAATAATTTGCAGTATTCATATCAAATGAAACCTTATATTTTTATTATTAGTTTTAATGTGTTTTGCAGCTAAACTGTAGACATCTAGTAATGTAATTAGAGTTGACTTTTTTATGTCATCCTGCATTTTAATTCTTTTTATTGATTTTATTGCTTTTTTTTTCCTTTTATTGGTGTAGGGAGCTGCTCTTTTTTTTTGTGTCTGTAATCGTTATTGGTTACAGACAGGCACTACCTGTTTGGGGGATGAACATATACTTTCTATCCCTGCTAGCTGGGTCAGAAATTATGATATTCTTATAAAGGAAGTTTCTGAAGAAGGGCAGACAAATTTGGACCATATGATCTTCCATGATGGAGCAACTGTTGTACGTTTCTGTATTGTATTTCATCCAGACCAGAAGCAGGGACTATTAGGCAAGTACAGATATGTTCTAATAGTTTACTTCCTGCTGCACAAAGCTTCTGTGGGTATCTGAAGTCTGTTGACGAAGGTATCTCTGTCTTATTTTTATTATTTTACATGCACACTGCCAGATAGCGAAGTCTGTGCTACTGTATGTCTGTAGTATCACCTTGCAGTATACTATCAGGTCTCTTGGTGGTTACTGCCGCTGCACCACCACACTACACCCTGCACACAGGGTAGGTTTAACCTGACGTATACTAAAAAGATGCAGAATAAATTGAAAATGCCAACAGAGCAGAATGGTCACATGGTACACATTAGGCACAGAACACTATACAACAGTCAATGGGACATTCAGTGGAATAAATTGCAAAGAAGAATCACTATGCAATAAGCAGTGCAGT